AGAGATGAAAATATGTCGTCTGAGAGTGGTGACATGGGGAATGATAGGGAGGATTGTGTGCTAGAGGTAATACGGAGGCTAGATTGAAATTATTAAGCACGGGAGGATGGGTGGTAAAGCCCACGATTGGGCTACATGGATCTGTGGGGGAAAAGCAGGTGCATAAAAATGAAGGAAGAGAAACACTAGCTACATATGAAGAAGCAGGAGTAGAATAAGAGTTTGTGGCTGGAAGCGTGCCCACAAATACATTGGTTGGCTGATCAATGAATGGATGTGAAAAATGAGTCAAGGAGGGCATAAACAGATAACGTGTGCTTAAGTAAGTTTTGAGCGGAAATGAGATAATTTCAGGCCGTGGTCTTTGTTCCTGAACCTAGTTATAAAACTTGAGTTAGGGTAGTTGTTGCTACTGTCTGTCTGTTTCTCTCTCTCTCTCTCTCTCTCTCTCTCTCTCTCTCTCTCTTTCTCTCTCTCACCCCAACTGGTCGAGACAGACGTCCACCCACCTAGAGCCAGGGTCTGTCCAAGGTTTCTGCTGCTTAAAAGGAAGTTTTTCCTTGCCGCCCTCGCCAAGTGCTTGCTCATTGTGGGAATTGTTGGGTCTCTGTAAATACTGTTATAAGCAGGGTTCTAGATTAACACCTGCAAACAAGCCAAATGCGGGTTAAAAATCATTTCGGCGGGTGTTAATTAAAACTTACTAGCCAGTTTGGCTGGTGATGCATGAGGCAATCATGTCAGTCAGAGCCGCTCTACTGTTCTTGCTCCCTGGGCAGTACTGACTACATTTCCCATGAACACTGTCGTGATGCTACGTGATGACGTATAAGACGCCCATTGGCTGCGCGCAGGCAGTGCAACCAACCAGCGCGAGAAATCATGGAAACAGAAAACACAAAGAAGAAGAAGAAATAGAATGAATGAACGGAGCAGAAACTATCAAAAGAAGGGAGGGAGCTAGCTAAAGTAAATTAAAAAGTAGCCTAAACTTAAACTATATGTGATGGTGGTTGGTTGGACAGATGTCTGGGGGCAAGAAGAGGAAGGAGGCAGGGGATGAGATTGAGAATATCAACAACAATGCGTGCGAAACGAAAAAAAGAAAGTTCAATGCCAAATGGCTGACAGGTCGTGAATGGCTTGTTTGATCACGAAAATGTCGTCATGTTTTGTGAGGACTGCCGCATGTATGCAAAAGAAAAAAACAAAACAATTTCGTGGTGGGAACTAATAATTTTAAAGTCGAGGCTGTAAAGGACCATGAGAGTGCCCGGAGTCATCAGGAGAGCTTCAGGATTAAATCCGCCAAAACAGGTCGTATTGAAGAGAGCCTTGCTGGGAGAAGCATCGGAGCTGGAGAAGATGCAGCTATTTTTGCGAAACGCAGGCCTGAGTTTGTGCGCAAACATGGAACAAAAGGAACTGAGGATGGCCTAGATTCAGATGAACAAATGAGTTCAGAGAGTGCTAAAGAAATTTGAGGCAGTAGAGCTCTGAAATTATCAAAATAAAAAATAAATGATTTTTTTGTTGTATGCATGTACTGTATGTGTATGTATTGTACTTGGATTGTGTTAATAAAATCCAAAATGTAAAAATAATGAATTCAGCGACAATCATCTCGCTTATCTAATCTCTCTTATTTTCACTGGAAAAAATTTGGCTAGTGGAAATTCTGATTACTAACTAACTTTCTAAAGTTACCAGCCAAATTGGCTGGTAATCAAAAAAGTTTATTTAGAACCCTGGTTATAAGGAGTTTGGTCTAGACCTGCTCTATTTGAAAAGTGTCCTGAGAGAACTTCTGTAATGAATTAGTGCTATACAAAAAAAATTTAATTGAATTGAGGTTTTAATGTTTCTGTATCAGCAGAGCTGCTAACCCCATCAATTCTTTCTTTACAAACATTTCACTGAGTGTTTGTGAGCCATGGCCTCTCCTGAGAGCTGATTACTGTTGGGATCCAAGGATTTACCTTTAAATATGAATTTGCTCAGGGAACATGTTGGAATCTGACCATGTGCTCAGAAACAAAGAATTGTCCTGAGGCCTGTATGTAAGCCATAAAACCTTTCTAGTAGTGGTTGAAAACAAAGGAACACGCCCGCCAGATAGCAGACCCCTCTGTGGGGGGGTCAAGAATGTGACCAAGGTGTGGTTTAAAGGCAATAAAACGGCCAAACACCGGCCTTTCATTGGTCGAGAGTCCCTCTGACCCAAGACCTTTCATCACGGCTATTTAAGCCCAAGAGACTCTCCTCTTCTCTCTTCTCATCTACCTTCGCTCCTGCTCACACACCCACCCCCGGGTGATAAGTTCTGGACCTCGGTGTGGCCTGACCCATCGACGACGCACGACCAAGGATTATAGCATGGCACAAAAGCCTGCTTTTTCCTGCGATACCTGCACCAGTGGACATCGCACAGCAGAGACAGTTTGGACTTCAGAACTGTAATTCTGATCAGCCTGGCTCACAGGACCGCCAGCTGACCCACGCAGCTCACCCGCAACTCTTTTCTTCATCTTCCTTTGGACCGTTGGTAACGTACTGGGCATAGACAGACAACTTAACAGAGTTAACGGCTAAACAAGGACTGTTTAATTATTGTTAATGTTGCTGATGTGTTTTATTTAAGTTACTGTGTTATTGTGATGTTGATTTGATTAACTGAGGTTACTGTAGTAACTGTAGTCTTTGAGACAGTGCTAAGGTGATGTTAGTTTAATGCTTCACACAGACATTGTCTTTGCGTACAGTTACTCCCTTTTAACGGCACCGTTAATCTAAAATCACACACACACATATTCGGTCTAGGTACACGTGGAGGAGAGATTCAAAATCTCCCGTCTCTCTATTGCTCTGTGTCTCTCAGGACACAGGACATAAGCCTTTTATGACCCCCATAAACACACACACACACACACACACACACACACACACACACACACACATACACACACTCCTTTAGTTCTTTTAAGTTAGATTGTATATTGTGTATTTTTCCTCTGTTGCTTTTATTATATCTGGTTATTAAATGTTTACATATGCTGGCCTATTTAATTTCGTACAAGAGTGAGTGATACCAACCTCTTCTATGTAGAACTCCAAAGCTCCCACTCTAGCTATTATTAATGATTTTGGTGGTAATTATTAATTTAATTGTTTATCTGATTTCTGAATTAATAGTTTAGTGTTATTTTTATGAGACTGATCAATTGATTATTGGGTATCGTTCCCTTATTTAAGGGTGGTGCCCCAAGGAACTTTAATATTAATTAAAGTCATTTTTCATTATTTTTTGATAATTATATTTTGATAACCATTAATTGATTAAACTATTACAGTTAGACCACTCTAACACCCTACGTCGTAGAGCCCAACATTACTTAAAGCACAACACAAATAATTAATAGAAGTTTTTACTTAGATTCTGTATCCACAGATAAAGGCTCAGATTCTGACAGTAAAACAAGAATAATGTTGTATGAACACTCACCCTGTTTCCACCTTCCTGCTCTGCTGCTATAAAATGAACGGCACCAAATACTTCCACTTTCAGGTATCTCAGTCCGTCCCCTCTCCACCTCCACCCTCCGAGTCTGTGTTGATGCAATCTTTCTGTTTTTTGTTAAAGGTCCAGTATGTCACATTATAAATGTAATATAATATTCATAAGTGTGTTTTCATTAGTGTATAATCACCCAGAATGCACAAACCAAACACTGGCTGTAGATAGGGACCTTCATGTTTTTGTAATTTCTCCTTTATGCTTGGGAGGGGAAGATGAAGTGACTACAACTACATCAGTAAAACAGAAGAAAAAGAATTTCTTTTATTTATTATACGTACACATTTGACTCTTGTAAAAAATGTACACTTGAGCTATGCCCTCTGCTCCGAGCCATGTTTAATGAATCTCTGTCATCAGGATCTCTCCCACCAACTTTACGACAGGCTGCAATAACACTTTCACCCAAAGAAGGTAAAGATCCACTCAAGTGCGCTTCCTATCGCCCAATCTCTTTGCTGAATATAGACCACAAAATTTTATCCAAGATTCTGGCAGTAAGACTGGAGAAGGTCATCTCACAAATAATCTCACCAGACCAGATGGGCTTCATTTTAAATCGGCACTCAAGTTTAAATTTTAGAAGGCTCTTCAATATTATATACTCATCTCTGCCCCACTCTCCTGAAATGGTCATATCACTCGATGCTGAAAAAGTGTATGACCGACTTGAGTGGCAATAGTTATTTTTAACCTTAAAAATATTTGGATTTGAGGATTTTTTTTCATCTTTCATCTCTTGGATAAAACCCCTCTATTCTCACCCTCTAGCCTCAATAATTACTAATGGACTGCAATCTGAATACTTCCCTCTTGGCAGGGGCACATGCCAGGGCTGCAACTTATCCCCTTTACTTTTTGCCATTGCCATCGAGCCTCTAGCCATCGCTCTTAGACAATCCAATGACTTCCTGGGGATAGAACGAGGAGGCCTTACACACAAATTGTCTCTATATGCCGATGACATTATTTTGTATGTCTTAGACCCATTAAAACATGTTCCTGCCATTCTCAGCACCCTGACTCAAACTCAATTTTGAAAAAAGCTAAATGTTTCCTCATAACCAGCCCGCTACTCTAATCCCTGCATCACATTTCCAATTTAGAACTGTTATAAAGGGCTTTAAATACCTAGGGGTTGAGATCACATCTGCTTTCTCCTCCCACTTTACTAAGAAGCGTTACTAAGGTGTTTTATTTGAAAAATCTAAGAAAGACATGATCAGATGGATGAACCTCCCTCTGTACATAACTGGCTGGATTATTCTCATTAAAATGATTGTACTACCTACATTTATTTACCTCTTTCGCAACATTCCAATCTTGATTAACAACATTTTTCTTAATTCATTTCACAGTAGCATATTATTTTTATGTGAAATGGCAAACCACACAGAATAAAAAGATGTTTTTTGAATACTCTTACTTTCAAAATATGCTGCAAATGATTGTACAAATGAATGTAAAATCAATAAAAATTGTTGAATGGAAAAATGGAGTCTGAACTCTGAACACTTTCAGTTTTGTCGTCCCCTCTCGGTTCTCCTGTACACTCCCTGCAGTGTTGTTCCTCCCGTCATCATTTACAAGAAATCACATGATCATCTCTCTCTGCTGGAAACACTCAAACTGAAATATAAAAATAAAAACAAATGCAGCCCAGGGTTAGGGTTAGGGTTAGGGTTTTCATGACTTGTTGTGCCTGTTTAGTCCCCACAAAATGCAATCATATGTTAAAACAACAAGGTGATGCTCACCCCGTTGCTACAGCAACACGGTTCAATATAAATTCATAGAATTCGTAAGATGTCATTCATTCTTTGACCAAATTTCAGCTAGACGTGGCCAATCTGCTGGGAGAAATACATGGAAGTGTAATAAATCCAACCACAAGGTGCTGCTACCACTTTTATTGAATATTATCACATAGATGTGTTCAGGGCGAGACTCTTATCATACAAATGAAGTTTGGGGCCAATTGAACGATGTACACTCAAGTTACAGCAAATTCATGTGCCTCCACGTTTGACGCCACACCGCGGACATGCCCTTCAACGACAACTCACAACTATTATCACATATTATCAACATTATGGTTTGCATTTTCTGTCTTGGGGGTTGATTCAGAGAGGCGGGGCTTAGCCATGTGGCGGCGCCCCTGAACGGGTACAAATGGATACGTTGAGTTCTGCCAGGTTTTAATTTTGTGAAAAGTTTCATGAGCTGTCAAGCATGGGAAAGTGTTCAAAAATGCGATTAAAGGGAATTCCTACAATTACAATAGGTCCTTGCACTGGTCAGTGCTCGGGCCCTAATAACGGATAATTCCTACAATTACAACAGGGCCTTCGCACAATTTGTGCTGAGGCCCTAAATATTCATAAAATATGTCACTGTCAGTTTAATCAATGATAAAAAATGTCCCTTAAGGAAAAATGTTGGGAACCACTGATGTAATTTATTATTTTTCAATGTGAGATTATTGTTGTTCAAATTCTCTAAATGCTAATAAGGAAAGATGCTTCAATGCTTCCTTTCTGATCTCCTTAAACATACCATCCTTTACCAAAGGAGTCTGTTTGTGAGTATATTCAGACTCTGAGAGAGAACCAGTAACACTAACTGTGAGCTTAGAACATATGAAAAGATTGACCAACACACACACACTAGGGATGTGAATCCCCACCACTGAGGCCGATTCGATACACATCTTGATACGCTGCCAGCGATACGATACATTAACGATACAGTGGAGCCCCCTGCCGATACGATGCGATACGATTCACCTCTGTTCACGAGGCGATGCGATTCATTAATCGTTTGACAACGATTTGACTTTATACAATGCAATTCGGTTCGATACGATTCAAGATGCGATTCAAAACGATTCAACACAATACAAAGAATTTACAAGCCCACATCTGGTTTCTAATGTATTTGATACTTGATTGTTTTCTATAAAGCAAACCAATATATCCAACTTAAAAAGAATATGCAATTCAATATGGTACAGACAGAGGATTGTTTTATTCCTAATAAACACTAAATCATAAACAAAACATATTTTTTCATTACATGTGTTTTTAATCTCATTCTCTACTTATACAATACTAAATGTATTGTATTTGGGCAATTACTTTTTGGCCTTAATAAAAAGTAGTTTTCCATCAAATCAGAATAATCGCCAAACTTTGGAGTTGTGTGTCTTCCAAGGTACGCTTAATATCTCCTCTTCACCTGTTGTGTCGCTTCCCTCCATTTTTTCTGTTTACTAACTGCGTCTGCGGCGTTCAAGGCGCCTCGAAAACACGGGTGCAGAGGAGATAAACTATGTAATAATCGATGTAACCATGGGTTTTACTGATGCAGACACGCAAAGAAAGATACATTGCGCATATAGCCAGCAGTTGTATCCGATGCACACTGAAGCTACCGGTGCACTCGCATCGCAAACGTCTGTCTCGGACCATCGATTCAAATCGGTGAATCTCTCCATCCCTAACACACACACACACACACACACACACACACATACACACACACACACACACCTCATGTAATGAATCTGTCCAACACTGCTTTGAATGTATGCTTGTTTTTCTGTGTTAGTGTTGAGTTTATTGTGTATTATTTATCCAATCACACTGTATTCACAGATGAATCAGAGACTTTGACAGTAAAACAATAATAATGTTGTATTAACACTCACCCTGACTCTGACTTCCTGTCTCTCCGTCTACTCTGAACACTCAAAATGGAGTCTGAACCCTGAACACTTTCAGTTTTGTCGTCCCCTCCCTGTTCTCATGTACACTTCCTGCAGTGTTGTTCCTCCCCTCATCATATACAAGAAATCACATGATCATCTCTCTCTGCTGGAAACACTCAAACTGAAATAGATAAAGTCCCCCAGCTAACTAGGTTAAGATTGCTGTTCAGTCATTTATTTAGGTATCAAGCTACAGTTCACCATGGCGGTTCTACTTATTTCTTCTACTGTTTCTACTGAATAATTGTGTCTAGAACCAGTGGACCATTGAAGTGCAGGATGATTGTCTGCTTGTTCTTTTCATCATTTATATTCATGTTGATCATTTATGTTTTTCAGATTGCTGTTATTCAATTTAATTTGGCAGTCATCTTCTAATGTGGCCCAGTGGTTCCCAACCTGGGGGTCAGGACCTCCACTAGGGGTCACCAAAGCCTCATGGGGGGGTCGCAGGCCTTCTTGGTTTTAAAGGGTGGAAGAAAACTTAAACTTAACTTTATGAAGTGTGTATGATTGTCAAATATTTAAAATAGACATTAAATAAAAAGTTCATCAAAATATAAGTTAAACACATCTCTGATTCCATATTGACGAGACACACACACAGTATACAGTTTAATTAATCTGACCCTTTGAATTTGTGCTTGTTATCTTGAGTTAGTGTTGAATTTATTGTGTATTATTTCATCCAATCACACAGTATTACCAGATGAATCTGAGACTTTGACAGTAAAACAATAATAATGTTGTATTAACACTCACCCTGACTCAGACGTCCTGTCTCTCCTTCTGCTCTGTCGACTCAAAATGGTGATCAAAGCAGTAAGTGTCAGATTACATTGTGTTTCTCTTTTTTAATGACACACTCTGGCAGAAACAGGAAGAAGCACTTTGTTGTTGACTGAATTCATTCTGACAACATGTCAAATCAGCCTTTTAGAGACATTTTTACACCTTCATGTCCAGATTTTTAATGCTCTCCCTGATAACTCTGCACTCGCACCTAAAAAGCCCCTCTAGAGCTCAGATTTGCTGTCCTTGTGTTCAAACTGTGTGCTTGCACTCAGATATATTGTTGCTTGCACAGATTGTCTGTGCTCGAACTGACGCTGTTTCTGTGCGCTCGCAAAACTTCTGCTCTCAGATTTCTGCTCTTGGACTTTTTAGTGCAATGAACCTGTCAAAATCCCTCCAATAGGAAGCCAGCATCGTTGCAGGCAAGTTTGTTTTACTTCTTAGAGTCCCTTGCAAGGGGGGTTACTTAAGTTCATCCACTCCCACCCTCCATTACATTTTTATATGTACTTCTCTTGCTTTTTATACAACTTTTGGAATGAAAGGACAGTTATTATATATACCAGCGCGTGTAGTTTTTGGTATAATATCTACTTACTGTATAATAGTAGCTGTCTCCCATTGATGTACTAGACAGGACCGTGTCTAATGGATCGCTGGCAAACATGGACTTCCAATGTTGAGAACCTCAAGTTTTATGATCTTTCTTCTGCTGTCGTTCATCCATAATTACATCTGATTAGAGAAAACCTTCCTGTTTGTCCACTTGAAGACTTTTCCAATGAACACCAGATAGTTTCCTCTCCAAAACATCTTGTGCTCATCACATTCTTTCTTGTGCACAAGATAATATTCGAGTGTGCACGAGAAACTTGAGGAAACATGACTACCCGTGGAAACTACCACAAAGAAAAGGAAATACAGCAACAACAGAGATATTATAAATAAAGAGTTTAGGCTGTATCACAGCATTGCAAACGGGTCTCACACAAACACACTCTTTGTCCCACATTTGGTTTGTTGGGATCTGGTTACCCTAGGACTGGATTAACCTATTCAGGGCCACTGGGTAAAAATGTGCTGTTGGGCTCTTATTGTGTTAATATGGTTAAACAACACTTTATTAAGGAATATGTACCATGTAAGCACAGGACGCCTACATAAGCAACTCTGTGTCCTTGCTTATATAATACTAATCTGCAACAAGGTATCAGTAAAATGTTCACTGATGAAGGATTTAATTTGTTTTACTGACAATATTCACAATACAATATCTGCTTGTAGCAAATAAACTCCAGCAATGTCATTATGAAAGTGTTTTACACAAAACTGTAACTAAGTGTAACTGTGATACTGTAGTTTTATTCTGCTGGTGACAGGCCTGTTTGTACGCCCTCCATCCTCTCCCACCATCTAAAATAATGTAGTTCTTCCTTCACGGACACAAATTTCTTCACCTCCATCCAGTGATTATGTTTCTCTCAGCACAGATTTGGTGAAACAGTAGTACATATTCCATATACTGTACATGCCTTGGTGCCGTCCAAACAACAAGCATTTCCTCCAGTGAACAGGGTCACATTAAGTACACACCAATCTAAACAACCAGTTTGATCAACACTCACCCTCTGTTGGAGTTTGGACCTCAGCTTCTCCTCCGTCATCGCAAAGACTGATAAAAAACGGTTCTCAGGCAGTTTGATTGGAGAATAGCCAAGTCTCCTCCTCAGATTAAACAAAGTGTGTACCACTGGGTTAGCTGTTGTGACTGATCTCTGATCATAACAGAGTCTTCTAAAAGTAAATCAGGTTAAACAAGCAGACAAGACAACTGTAGATCCTGATCCTGTCACTGTCCTTTTCACCATCCCTTCTATGCCCAAAGCACCCAAAGCTGCACAACAACTTATTGTATTTACCACTCTGCTTGCTAGAAGGCTCATTCTCCTTAAATAGACACTTTCCTCCCCACCTGCTCATAATAGATGGATTCAGGAGATACTGCAGTGCATTCGGCTCCAGAGGATCAGGTTCTCCCTCAGAGGTTCCACAAAACCTGGAAATTGCTTTCAACATTTATTTAAATAATTCTGGCAATGTCTACTTGTGATGTAATAGACCTACCTTATGTATTTTTTCAATGTCAGTTTATTGTTTGAGTGAGGAATTGTTTAAAGTTGACTTTGTAATGCCCCATAAGGTGATGAAGCCAGCAGCCACTGTGAACCAATAAAGTGCAACCAAGGTCTCCACAATTGTGAACTTTGTGTCCAGTGCCTTGTATCTTTCTGCAGGACACCCCACCACACATCAGACCACAACGTAGAGTCCCAAATACAGGAAACACAACCAGATACAGAAACAGTAGCACAGAGAACAACAGAAACTGTTGGGGACATTGAAAAGTGATGAACTGGGATACACTTTGTGACCATGAATGAACTGAAGTTATTGAAGTCAGCGACCCATGAGTGCTGTTGGAAAATGAGCTAAAATATCTACATAATCCCACCTGAGCTCCTCACAGGAATTCAGGTGGAGAAATAATGAATATTTTATTAATAATGTTTTATTTATATTTTACCAAACTAAAATTAGCCAACCGTTAGTACAATAAAATATATTGGAATCAGTCTATACATATCCACTAGTGATAGCTATGACCCTGAATGCAACATTCAAAGTATCCTTTATGTAAAACTTAGGTTGTAAATATACATTATTTACACTGGCTTCTGATATTATTTCTGAAAGATAACCCTGATGGCATTTAGAGTTTTAGTTCACTGAAAAGTAACACATAATCATACAAAGATTAAATTGAATTTCCCCACAAATAACAGTTTTTTAATGTCTGTGTGTCATTATGAGTTGTGTCCATGTCACAGGTTTGAACCCAGCTTGTCTCCCTGTGTGTCTGTCTGAAAAACACACTCTTGTATGGTTGAATCTCAGCTGATTGTTGATGCAGCAGCGCCACCTGCTGTCCAAACTAACAAACTACCAGCTGAAGTCAGATCTGCTCTTCATCTGTTGTTCAATCTCATATCAGACATCCTTCCATGTTAACTGCTGTGTGTGTGTGTGTGTGTGTGTGTGTGTGTGTGTGTGTGTTGTTGTTGTTGTTGCTGTTTGACAGTCTTATAGCAGACGATCAATGTCCTACATCTACAGCTCACTGAAGGACAAAAACTCTAAAGATAGGGGCTTAAACAGGGGATTTTGTGTACTGTTTTTATTTTACCACTAGGGGGCGATACTTGTTTTTAATGATTAATGAACATTTATCTGTCATCAGTAACTAATCTGTCTGCTTGTTGTTTTTTTCCAGATCTCTTTATTAGTTATTGTATTTTCTTAATTTCATGGTCATTAACCATCATTTATTAATTCAAATAATCAGTTATCACATTATAAGTTATGAGAGGAAACACCAACTCATCACTATTTGCTTTTATGAAGTAAAGTCGACATTTTCTGATACAGTTTTCTTTGTTTCCTTTATTTTATTAATAGTCAACATCAAATGAAAAAGACGTATAAATGTTGGTAGCATTGGATTTAAGTTTATTTCTGAACAAACACGCTGAAGGAAGCACGTCTTAACAGGACTCCTTTTATGAGCGGTATGAGTAGGCGGATTCTCAGATTTGATTGGATAATGGATGTGTGATAAAATCAGAGCCTGAAATGGGCCGGTACTAACCAGTACTGAGTACCAGCACCTCTGATTTTTGAGCACCCTTACTTCTTATTGTTTAGCGCCACCTCTGGTGAGCATGGCCGTACCCACCACTGAGGTCTGGACCTGGGTATTTTCTCTGCTGCCCTGCACCTCACGATGAGTTAATCAGCTCAAATGTTGATTATAGATGAATTATTTGTCCGTTATCAGATATTTGATGATGTGGCAGTGGACATCAGTTACATATAAAGCAGATAGAAAACAAGCAGCAGACTGTTGTCAGACACTGATTTCTACTTTTAGAGTCAGAAAAATGTTTAGATTTTTGTTTTAAGAGGAATTTAAAGCTCTGTTTAAGACTCATTTTTCATTATTGATCATTTCAACCATGACGTTAACTTTATTGTTCCAAAGAGGAAAAAAGCAGCAACACTGAAAATAAACAGACTTCAACATAAAATACATCAAAATATATAAAACAAACAACAAACCCAAAACAATGAACATCAAGAGACTAAAGAATAAAAACCATCATCATCATCATCATCATCATCATTCTTCATGATCATCTTCATCTTCATCTTCATTAATCATCTTTTTCTTCA